GCTGTTTCCGTGGGCGGCGCAGGTCCCGGGTTCGCCCGATGGCGGCCGCGCGTCCCTCGGCGTTGTGTCCGCTCGCTCGCTCGGCGTTTGTGCTGAGCCTAGAGGTTGCGTTCCCAGCGAGTCCACGGTCCTGAGCGTGGTTAGAGCTAGAGGAGGATGGTGCCGTCGCTGCTGCTGCTGCCGTTGCTGTTGTTGCTGTTATTTTGTAGTTCTAGGGGTGGAACCAGGGCCTTTGCACCGAGCTATGGCTCCAGGCCTTTTTACTTTGTATTTTGAGATAGGGTCTCGCTAAGTTGCCCGGGCTTAAATCTGTCATCCTCCTGCCTCAGCCTCCCAGCGTGCAAGGATAACAGACATGGACCACCATCCTCCACCTCAGCAGTCTGTTTACTTGTCGGTGGTACCGGTACTGGGGATTGAACTCAAGACCGTCCCACTGAGCTCCACCCCCAGCCTTTTCGTTGCCTTTTATTTTGCTAAGTCACTAAGTCTCCCGGGCTGGGCAGGAAGTTGGGATCCTTCTGCCTTGGCCTTCTGTGGCGGCAGTGATGACAGTTGAGCGCCAGCAGTGTGTTTAAAAACGCAGTATTGGCCAGGGATTTAGTTCAGCGATGCCACCGCCTGCCTCACAAGCACAAGGTCCCAAGTTCTTGATCCCTGTTACCCCCCCACACACACACAGAAAAGAGTAGCATTTATGAGGCTCTCGGGTTCTGTCCTCAGCAGTGAGTATGAAGGCGCCTTCAGCTCACAGGTAGGAACCTGCAGATCCTACAGAAAGACCCGCTCGGTGCTCACTGCCTGCCGTGGGTCTGAGAACCTGGACGCGCCGATTCTGTCAGAACTTGGGTGTCATGCTTCGCCGGTTTCCAGGGCGCTGCACTGCCCGCTCTGTGTCCTAGTCCTCCCAGACTGTCCAGGGAGAGGCCCGGGCCTGTGAGTAACCGCTGCTCGTCTGCCATGTGCTGGAGTGAGGAAAGGACACTGGGCCCCTGACTTACAAACTCAGTCCGTTCCCGAGGGCCGGTTGTAACTCGAGTCGGTCAGCTCAGGCCCAGCCCCTCCGCCCGGCCTTCAGCGTCTCTCTCCCGAGCACAGCGGGCCTCAGGGTCCTCAGAGAGACGCCGGCCCGGGTTTCCCGGTGAACCCCACACAGGAGAGGACGCTGTCCTTTTCCTTCCAGAGCTCTATAGGGGTTCAGTCTGCGTCTGAGACCGTCTGGTAGCACAAGCGGCCGGCAGTCGGGTTGTAACTGGATACTTTGTTCTACGGCAAAAGTAAAATTCTGGTCATCGCCCCTAGGTGACGCGCGGGCCCGGTCTCTCCTGGGAGTCGGGACAGACCTGTCTCGTGGCCAGGCTGCCAGACGAGGCCCCTGCCGCCGCAGAAGGAGCTCACAGGCTGGGGCCCTGGGTTCTGCCCGGCACCGAGAAAACATCTGCGGGCGGGTCCCGCTGCAGTGCGGTGCCGGTGCCGCCGGGGCCTGAGGTGCGTGGGGAGCAGTCTCTCTCCTGGGAGTGTGCGTTACGTACGATTCAGGGTTCCGATGTCACCACTCGGGTGCAGGGCCGGGCTGGGGGGGGGCTGTGCCTGTCTGCCTCCGCCCTGGCGCCTGGGTGACTTACGGCACGTGTGGCGCCGGAAGCCGGGCCTCTGGGCTTAGCTGCGCTCCCAGCCCCTTTTCTTTAATGAGTTAACGGCTCTGTCTCACTTAACGTGCAGTCCTGGGGATCGAACCCAGAGTCCGGGTCCCGCTGAGTCACTGAGCAGCACAGGCCAGGCTGTATCTAGGGCTCTTCCTTCCTCAGCCTCCCTGGGTGCTGCGATTCTCTGCTTCAGACGTGGCCAGGGTCACTGAGGCCTGGCCGTGGGGAGGGCACAGGGCAGGGCGACCCCACCCATGTCTGCCATCCGCCGGAGCCGCACACCCTGAAGGTGGAGGGGCCGGGGCACCCAAGGAGCTGCTCCACCGCCCCCCATTCCTGGGACCTCCCGTGTACACCCGGTGGGCCGTAGAGGCAGGGACCCTGCCCTGTGCTCCCAGAGACCACCCGCGGCCCTGCTTGCGGCCTGCCCCTCGGAGATGAGGGGTCTGGAAGCGGAGACCAGGAATGAGGTGCGGAAGTCGGGGTGAGCCTGAGGGGCCCGGGCCAGGCTGGTACCTGCGTGCGTGGGGAGGGGGTGCCCCACCTGCTCTGGCCGGGCCCCACACGCTCCCGGCCCGGTGCCTCCTCTGCGGCCATGCTGTCCCCACAGCCCGGCTGAGCGTGCCGCTGTCCCCCCTGCTCGCCAAGCTGGCACCCGGGAGGACACAGCAGCCGCCCCGGGCCCGGTGTGGAACCTCCACAGCTGCTCCGGTGTCATTCTGAGGGTCTGCCTGCCTCTGCCCGGCACCCTTCTCCCTGTGCCTCCCGCGTCCTCCTCCTCTTCCCCACCAGCCCCCCACCCCACAGCTCCCTGGCTGCACCCGTGAGAGGGAACCCAGTACTTGTCTTTCTGGGTCTGGCTGTTTATTGCGGCAGTGCGTGTCACCCTTCTTTGGGGCTGCGTAGTGCTCCCCTGCAGTACTACATTTTGTCTATTCCTCTATCAAGGGGCACCTCGCCGGTTCAGTATCTGGGCCCCTGTGAGCTGCACCCCATTATACGTGGGTGTGCTGTGTGCCTGGAACCCTGAGCTCAGTCATCGTGTCTTTACCTTCCCGCGGTCTGCGCTTGCTGGGCATAGTAGACCTGCAAGGAGATGTGAGCCCCGCGTTCCAGCCACCCGGTCCTCACGGCTTTCCCAGATTCACTGTCGCGCCGGCTGGCCCACCTGGGACGTGCTTCCTTCCAGGACTCCACATGCCCAGCCGTGTCCAGGGGTCTCGGGCAGCTCTGGCCCTGCCGTGCAGGCCCACCCGGGTCTCTTCGGGGCCAGGCTGGGAAACACGGCCGGCAGAGCTTCTGTCTGTGCGGTGCCCTGTGCCCCAGGGCAGGTCCGTGTCCGCCGTCCTGTGTGGTGCGAGCTGCTCTGGTGAATGGCATGTACCCGGCCCCGTGGGTAAGCGGCCATCTAAAAAATGCCACATTTGGATCCCGGCATAGCAGTACCCGTTCTGGTCTTGCAGCGTTCTGGGAGGCTGAGGCAGGAGGACCCCAGGTTTGAGCCCGGCTTGGCCAATTTAGACCCTGTCTGGAAATCCAGCGAGGGAGGCCTCTCCCCTGAGGGCAGGGTGGGATGGAGCGGAAGGAGGGCCGGGAGAGAGCAGCTGAGGGCGTCAGGGCCCAAGGGACGAGGATGCTGGTTCCCTGCCAGGTGCAGGAGGTGCCCCCAAAAGTGGGCAGGCGGAGCCTGGGGTGCTTTTATGCCATTTTGGGTGCACCCGGCCCCAGGGCCCAGCCCTTCCTCCAACTTTGTTTTGAGGTGGGGTCTCCAGGTCCCCGGGCTGGGGTGGAATTTAGACGCCTCCTGCTCAGCCCCCGGAATGGGGGCGCCATGGCCTGGGGACACGGATGGTGGTGAGTGACCACAGGGGCGACTTGGTGACCACGGTCG